CTCCCTGCATTGTGCCTACATATGCAAATTAACCGCCATCTTTGTTGGCAGTTAACCGCCATCTTGGCTGGTGATTAATTTGCATATCTCGCTAATTAGCCAATGGGAAGGGTAGCGGTCGTACGCTAATTACCATGTTTCTCTTTTATTAGATTAGATAAAAGTGTATGATATCTGGGATTGGTTCAAAATAATATGGGGTGTGTGCACAAGAGTGGGGTTAAAAATGAAACAGGATTGGCCATGAGTTGATAATTGTTGCAACTGATAGGTACTTGGAGCTTCATTATTTACTGTCCACTTTCATATATGGTTAAAAATTTCCATAGTAAATAATTTTAAAAGATAAAAAAAGTCCTAATCACTGCTAGAATTTAGGAAGTTTTCAAGTTTTCTCCAGCTAGATATGAATGACCATTGAAGAATGACCATTGAAGAATGACTTTAGTGCTTCTGATGTTAATAAGTCAGGTTCAGATGAACAGAATAAACTACAATAAAGTAATATAATGAGACTGTCAATTCATTTCTAGCTCTCAATTCATTTTTAGCTCTCCAGCATACTTATTTAATGCTTGCTGTCCAAAGAATATGCAATGCATTAGGAAGCAAAATATACCAATGTGACATATTAGTCATTATTCTGTCAAGACCGAAGGCCAAACTCAACCTAATACTTCATCAAGTAAGTTTTAAAAAAGTCATTACATTTCAAAAAATTTTTCCTCTTTATTTAAACATAAAACACATTTACAGCATGCAGGTTAAAAAAAAAAAAGGAAAATTATATGGCATCTTCCCAAATCAATTATCTTCAAATGTATCTTCAAACACTGAGAATAAACCAATATATTCCACAGGTAAACTCGGACTCTTCTATCGCCTTGTGTCAAATTGAGTTATGCACAGTAGTTTTTTTAAGTTAGGCAAATAATTTAATTGCTTATCATGAATAAATATTACTTTTACTTTACTGAGTTACTCTTCTGAACCATTTATCAATACCATTCAGAGGAACGTTAATATATTGAGAACAAAACAGAACAACACACTGCAAATTGAAGTGTCAATGTTTTAGATGATCAGAAATTTTCATTTATAAGAGTAAACACTATGTCTAATAACCTATAGCAAAAAGAGCAGTTCACTGAAACAAATTTATGAAATTCTCTGTACACTGCTGTGAAAGTTTGAAATTATAAATAAAAAATTCAGGTGTTTTTAAAAACCTAACATTGTATATTCTGAACCATATGCTAGCTATAATTCAGTTACACAGCTCCAATACCCGTGATTCATGTTAACAAGAATGAAATTCCCATATTCAGACAAAACAGGAAAAAAATTCTGCTTCATTGATGAATATTGCCAAAGAAGCAAGTTTTCATTTGAAAACAAAATAAAGTTAACTGCATTACTTTAATCTTGCTGCAATGATTCATGTCAATTTTTGGAGTGTTTCTTCTGATCAATCCTAAAAGGAACACAATCATTTTAAAGGATGCAGACTACAACAGCAAAAATTTTTTACTATTAAAAAAATAAATAAATTTACCTTTTAAGTCAAAATTATATAAAAGTGGAAATTACAATAGTTAAGGAAATAGAAAAATAAGCCAATTATGATCTGAGTCTTCTGACTATGATCCAAATTTATTACAAATATCTATATATAAAACTTCTTCAGAAAGTAAATTCTGCCAGCCAGATCCTAACACAGAACTTCCCATGTTTCTCTGCTGACTGAAACCATTATATCCCCATTCTAGGCAAATTTCTGCTAAAACAGTTGGGAGTCACCACCTCATTGATGAAGCAAATATTGAAATCTCCTTCCCTGTTACTTTTATAGCTCCCTAAAATAAACTGTTGACTTAGTTTTATCAACTTAGGAAAGGGTGGCAAAACAGGTACATTTAGTAGTAATTTTAAAATTATGGGATAAAACCAACAAAATAATTTATTTGAGGTTAGTGACTTGCAAACAATTTACTATTTCCAGGGTAAGATATAAATTATAGTGTATGAATTAGTGAAGGAGGTTAAAAGTACTTCAAGAACTTGAGACCAAAAATTACCTAAATATTTATAAACTTACCATATATTTATCTGGTTCTTCCACTTTTTTTCTAAACTTCCAGTCTATAAACTTAAATCAGCCAATACAGTAGATAATATAAAATTTAATTATATATCTCAATTCATTTCAGTATATTAAGTGGACAAATTAATATTTGTTCAATTTTCATAATAACTACTAAGCTCACTGAAATGAAGCGGGGTGTTCATCTCCCCCTCCTCCAATTTTCCCTATGACATTCATTAGTCTGTTCCTTGTTTACATGCCTCTGGTTCTATTTTATTCATCAGTTTATTATGTTCATTAAATTCCACATATATAGTGAGATCATATGGTACTTGTCTTTCTCTGACTGGCTTTTTCTACTTAGCATAATCATCTTCAGGTTCCTCCATGCTGTCTCAAACAGTAATATAGATGTGTGGTTTTTTTTTTTTTTTACAACTGCATAGTATTGCACTGTGTAAATGTACCACAGCTTTTTTTCAACTGGTCTACTGATAGGCACCTGGGCTGTTGTCAATTGCGCTGCTATGAACATAAAGGTGCACATATTCTTTTTGACTGGTGCTTTGGGATTCGTAGTATATTCCTAGAATCACTGGGTCAAACGGTAGCTCCATTTTTAACTTTAGGAAACTGCACACAGTTTTCAATAGTGGCTGCACCAGTCTGCATTCCCACCAGCAGTGTTCCAGGGTTCATTTTCCTCCACATCCTCACCAGCTCTTGTTACTGACTTAATGGTGGTAGCCATTCTGGCAGATGTGAGAAGGTACATCTTTGTAGTTTTAATTTGCATCTCTCATTAGTGACACTGTTCTTTGATTCATGTTTGGTGGCCAGCTGTGTGGCCACTTTGGAGAAATGTCTTAGGTCCTTGGCCCATTTTTTAATTGGACTGTTTTCTTTTTTAAGTTGTATGAGTTCCTTATATATTTTGGAAATTAACCCCTTATCAGATGTATCAATGGCAAATACGTTCTCCCATACAGTGGGATCCCTTTTCATTTTTTTGATCGTTTCTTTTACTGCACAGCTTTTTATTTTGATGTAGTCCCATTTGTTTATTTTCTTGTTTCCCTTGCCCTAGGAGATGTATTGGCAAACGTATTGCTATGAGAGATGTTCGAGGTTTTGTTGCCAGTGGTTTCTTCTAGGATTTTTATGATTTCACGACTTACATTTAAGTCCTTTATGCATTTTGAGTTTATTCTTGTGTATAGTGTAAGTTGGTGGACTAGTTTCATTTTTTTTGCATGTACCTGTCCAATTTTACCAGCATTGTTTATTGAAGAGACTGTTGTTACTCCAGTGTATACTCTTGCTCCCTTTGTCAAGTATTATTTGAGTATAAAGGCTTGGTCAATTTCTGAGTTCTTTGTTTTCCATTGATCTATATGCCTATTCTTGTGTCAGTAGAAGGCTCTTTTGACTATGATGGCTTTGTAGTATAACTTGATATCTGGTATTATGATACCTCCAAATTTGTTCTTTCTCAAGTCTGCTGTGGCTATTCAGGGTTCCATATAAATTTCTGGGGTGCTTGTTCTAGATCTGTGAAATATGCTGTTGATATTTTTACAGAGATTGCATTGAATTTATAGATTGCTTAGGATAGTATGGACATTTCAATTCTACCAATCTATGAACAGTGTATTTTTACATTTGTTTCTATCTTCTTATCTCTTTTTTCAAAAGCCGTAGTTTACCAAATATATGCCTTTTACCTCCTTGGTAAAATTTATTCTTAAGTACCTTAATTTTTTTTGTTGCAATGGTAAGAGGGTGTTTTTTTTTTTTTAAGTTTCTCTTTCTGAGAGTTCATTATTGGTGTATAAAGAAATGCCATGGATTTCTGGGTGTTAATTTTGTATCCTGCTACATTGCCAAATTTATCTATTAAATTGAGTTTTTTGTTGGAGTCATTAGGGTTTTCTATGAACAATATCATAACATCCGTGAATGAGTTTTACTTCCTGCTTTCCAATTTGGATGGCTTTTAATTTTTTCTTATTGTGTGATTGCTGTGGCTAAGACTTCCAGTTCTATGTTGAGAAAGAGTGGTGAAAGCAGACATCCCTGTCTTGTTTTTGTTCTTAAGGGAAATGATTTTAATTTTTGCCCATTGAGTATGATGTTCGTTGTAGGTTTGTTACATATGGCCTTTACTATGTTGAGGTATGATCCTTCTATTCCCACTTTGCTGAGAGTTTTTATAAAAAATGTGTTGGGTTTTGTGGAATGCTTTTTTGCATCTAATTCTATGATCATGTGATTTTCGTCTATCAATTCATGTAATTCTAGAGGTCCAGTGCATGAAATTAGTGCACAGATAGGGTCCTTAGGCCTGGCCAGTGATCAGGACCAATCTGTGGGGCGATAGGGCGCCCCCACCTTGGCTGGCCTGGGGCCTGTGGGCAGCTCCTGCGTTGAGCATCTGTCCCCTGGTGGTCAGTGCGCATCATAGTGACTGGTCATTCCACATGTCGTTCTGCCATTCAGTTGATTTGCATATTAGGCTTTTATTATATAGGATAGCACATTGATGGATTTGTGAATACTATACCAGCATTGCATCCCTGGAATAAGTCTCACTTGATCATGGTGTATGGTCTTTTTAATATATTGCTGGATCTGATTTGCTAATATTTTGTTGAGAGTTTTAGCAACTTTTCATCAAGGGTATCAACTAATTTTCTTTGTAGTGTCTTTATTTGGGATAATTCTAAAGTCTCATATGAAAGCTCTTGGAAGTATTATGTTGTCCCAAAGCTCCCTTAAATTATCCTTTTTATTTATTTTTTTCTAATTGCTACTCTGGATATTTTTTCCACCGTGTCTCTAATTTGCCTATTTGGTTCTCAGTTTCTTCCCAGGTATTGCTTCTTCTAGCTACATCAGTGTTCATTTCAAATTGAGTCTTATTCATGGCTTCTACATACTTTTTCATGCTTATGAATTTCCTGCTGAATTCCTTATAGTTCTCATTAAGTTGCTTGAAGTTTTAATTTGTGAGCCCCATCAAAGTCAGTGGGATAGTTGTCAGGGGCACAGGTTCAGGCTCGCTGGGTAGCATCAGGCTATTACCTTGACCTCTGTATCTGATAAATTGTTTGCCTCCATTTCATTTAGTTCCTTGTGTTGATTCCTCCTTTTCTTGGGGATTATTTGTCTCCCCATTTAGTAGGTCCAGTCTTCTAGTGCACCAGATCAGGCATGTTAGGTCACAGCGGCAGGTCCACCAGGGGTGTTGGGGCACAGCAGGGTTGGGTCTTCCAGGGGCACCAGGTAATGACAGTGTGGCCTGGTGCAAAGATGTAAGGCTGGTTGTCCAAGGGGCACTGGGTCAGGCATGCTGGGTCGTGATGGCCAGCTGGTGCATCCAGGAGAGTCAGATCATGGTGGTGGGGCCAGGTGAGCCCCATCAAAGTCAGTGGGATAGTTGTAAGGGGCCCAGGTTCAGGCTTGTACATCCTGGTATGCTGGGCTGCAAATGTGGGGCCACACGCACTTGTCTGTGGCCTCAGGGTGTTGGGCCATGGCCGATCCCCAGACTCTGTGGATTCTCCTAAATCTGAAGCAGGAAATTTTCATTCCATCAAGCTATGTTGATTATAGAATTGAAAAAAAGGCAAATATAATTCCTTCTCCAAACTCTTTTGCAAACTGAGATTTGTTTTTGATATTGTAAAACATTTCTATTCAAGAAAATTCAGCAACAGGAATTTCATGAAATAACAATTAAGTAGCCTTACTCAGTCTCAAATGACTACTTAGACAGTTTTATGGTTTCAGTGCTCAAACAGTAGTTTTTAGAAGCAAACATCAGAAAAGATACAAATAAATTTGACTCTGAAATCATTTGTAGTATTGACCTGATATATTGTGTGGGCATGTAGTGTTGTAAGTGGTAAAATTTAAGAAGTTTAATCTAAATGTGTTTACATTTTCCCGTAAAATAAGGAAGACACTTTAATAAGAAAAAAAAGAAAAGTAACAGCAGCTAAGTAATTTGAGATTAAAACCACACATAAAGAAACAAGTACAAAAAGCATAATTCTATGATACAGTTAGATTGGCACAGTGAAGACTAAATGCAAGACACAAAAGACAAATTGTGTAATAAATAGGGCCATAGTTGTAAACTGTCATTTTTCCCTAAGAAGCCAAAATTGCACTCTAAGTTTTGTTGGGAAGCAGCAGAGTTTACAAGAAAAGTAGGCAGAAAACAGCTGTACAGGCCAGGTATAATTTATACATTTAAAATAGCTGTAATTCTATAATTCCCAGGGGTAAATTTTATAGTTACTGAATGACTCTGCTTGATATTATGTCTTCTTCATACTTCAATTACTCACAACACCTGAAAATGGGAGAAAACAAAGGAAATATTTTCATTCGCATAAAACTTGTGTTTGAGATAATCATGAAAGAAACAAAGTAGATAAAATATACGAATAGTTTAAAAACACTTTGGCCAATAGCTATGACCACATTCCACAACGTTTTAAAAAAATGGCAACTTTAAATGATTTGATTTCTTCTCTTTTAATTTATTTCAAAATTAGAGCTACTTACGAGCAGTACAATGTTTAAAAAGAGGTCACCCCACTCTTCATTTGTTTTTATTCTTCCTAAGAGAGCTATGCGTGAGCTGATGCATGAATTACATATTTTTTAAAAAGAAGATGGAAAGGTGTAGACAGTGTCAGTGACCTTCTTAAGCTAAGGACCTTTAACAAGAAATGTTATATACATGGAAGCTATTAAAAAAAAAAAAGAGGAGAAGGATAGGGATACGGTCCGTACTACTTACCTATGTGTTTAAAAGAAAAACTCAACTTTCAAAGTATTATATAAGGTAGAAGACCAGCCATAAAAAATTGGGTAGTAAAGGTATCAGTAATATTAATACACTGCCATAATTCCCTAAAATAAATCCAGTGTTTTAAAATGTTTTTCTTGATAATTAAAACATTAAAAAATTTCTCTACAAAAGTTTTTAATTTCCCAGTCATTTATCACTTAAGTAAATCCTATGTTCCCCAATCATGGTTTAAGAGTTAGAAAAAAAAAAAAATAAGAACTATTAATTTTGGACTAGCAATGAGACAAGCCTGTAAACTTTATACTTTTATAATTACTTCACATTAGCTATCTCACTCATATGTTAAACTGCCTTATTAGCACTCTATTTCAAGCTAAAAACCTAGCTATATTTAACAAAGGCCATGGTCTATCTTCTCTGCTAATGAGATAAGAGTTCAAAGTTTACAGATGAATTTTAATCTGAGCACCATATCAAAAAAAGGATAAACTTCCATCTATATTTGTGCTTTAAAAGGCTCCTTGCCCACCTCCCACTTCTAGAAAAGTACCTGTAGGTAATTACACTTTAACTTGTATAATTCTTAAGAATAACTTCCATTTTACTAATAAAGGAGCTCAAATATAGCAGGACCTTAAATAACATTTTTTCAACACTGTTTCATTATAATGTTGCTAAGATGCTATATGAACTTAACTCTTGTGTTTTTTAAAATATGTTTTTATTGATTTTTAGAGAGGCAGGGAGAGAGGTAGAAACATTGATGAGAGAGAAACATAGATCAGGTGCCTCCTGCATGGCAATTTTTAAAGCAGGCAATCACTCTTTAGTCAGGGGCACTGAACTCTTTTCCCTTACATTATCAAACTAATAAATGACAACAACCAAAACAGCAATAGCCATCTGGTGTGAATGAATCAAAATTATACCTTTTTTTTTTTTATCAGATTGGCAAAAAATAGATTCTTTGGTGTGCCAAAGAATTTTAGTAATTAGTTTAATGTGTGCCATGGGATGAAAGAAATTGAAAATCACTGGTTTGTCTAGAGAATTTTAAAAAATTGAGGTATCTGAATATAGATTGGTGTTAGATAATATTAAAAATATTTTTAGTTGCTAGATGATTAACAATATTTTGGTGATAATATTGTGGCTATGAAGAAAAATGTTATGATTTAAAGATACATTAAACAGGTCATGAATGCATAATTTATTTTATGTTAACAAATTTTAAAAGGAGTCAAAATGAGAAAGAAATTATTTAAAAAGTAACTTGAAGTTCATGTAAGTTGAAAAGTCAGGATTCAAACTCAGAACTTCAACATCCAAGCTCTTTTTACTATCTTAAAAATCCTATACGGTGTGGACAAAAAATTATATTAAATTGTAATGTGAATCCTCCAGAATATTGCTTAATTCTCCATTCAAATTGAGAACCAATGTTATATAAAATGTGAAAGTATAAACAAGATTAAAATAAAGATTTTAATATTCGTCAGAAACAAGTTAAGCCTAATAATTATCTAGTACTTTTAATTTCCAAAACAACTACACATCCAGGACTTCCTAAAGAATTAAAATCTGAGTTCCCGCCATATGATGAAATATCAAGCAGCTATTAACTAATCAAGTTGTAGAAAAAAAAATGTTCAGAATATATTACTAAGATAAAGAAGCAGGTTACAAAGTAGCATATGTAGAACAGGAATAGTATGTTATTAAATATTCATCAACAATTTAAACCTTTTAATTTAAAACTTATGAAATAAAGCTCTAGAAAGATAAATACAATATAGTGGGTGGTATCTCTAGAGATATTTATCTTTCTACTTTGTAATAGTCTTTAGTCCCCTACAAGTAACAAGTATTACTTACATAGTTAAAAACAAACAAAAAAGTGTAAGAACTCACACATCTGTTTGAAGAATCACTTTCAATAGGTAAATGGAAAAGGACACAGAAATAACTCATAAGAAAGAAAATACATGTGGGCAATAAGTATAGGAAAAAAATCCAACTTCATTAATCGACCAATGAAATGCTTATGTTGGTTTATCACGTCAGAAGCTTAAAAATGATTAATACTCAATCCTGCAAAGATGCAACAAAATGGACAGTATCCTTGGCTAATATGCAACTTGGTGTAATCTTTCAGGAGCCTTAAAAATGTTCACATTTTCTTAAAATTCTACTTTTGGGAATCTTCTGAAAATAATCTAAAAGATGAGGTGGTGTAAAAAAGATAATCATACTTTGAATTCCATATATAGAAATTTCAATTTTGGAAAAAATTAACACACTTAAATTATATATCCAATAAAAGAAAATAGTTAATAGCAGTATCTTTTTTAAGTGATCCAGTGCTATGTTAGGAACACAAATTTGGCCCAGCTGGCATGGCTCAGTGGTTGAGTGTTGACTTATGAACCAGGAGGCTGCGGTTTAATTCCCGGTCAAGGCACATGCCCGGGTTGTGGGCTTGGTCTCGGGGTGTGTGTGTGTGTGGGGGGGGGAGGGGGGGGGGTGTGTGAGCCGCCAGTATGCATGCAGGAGGCAGCCAATTGATGTTTTAAGCTCACATCGATGTTTCTCTCCCTCTATTTCTCTCAAAATTAATAAAATATATAAAAATAAATAAATCATGAGAATAATGTGAGAATCTAAAAAAAATGTTTAACAATCAATGGTTGAACATTTCCATTTACAGTTATAATTCAAAAGCGAGATATAAACTACAAACCTGTAGGTAATGTGTCATGCTTATACTTGTTTGCCTCCACCTCGTATTACCACAGGCTGGCTGTTCTGAGTAAATGCACCTCCTCCACGAATTGCACTTGGATGAGTTGGAGAAGCTGCTGGATGTTGCCCAGGACGAATAGGTTTAGCTAATATAAAAACCAAAAACTGGCTTTAGAATAAATCTTAAAACATGCCTGTAACTATTTTTTAGGTCTCTTGTCTTTACTTACCACAAATTCTTGTGTTTTGTTTTTCTCTTTTTTCCCTCTCATTAAATTCCTCTCTCTTACTTTTCAGTTACATCTTTTTCTCACATGAATTGTTATTCTAAAGCATGAAATATTGCTGATGACTTTTCTTTTCATTTTAGAGTATCTTTATTAAAGCTAGGGACAGTGAAACAAGGAAGGGCCTAGAACAGTGGTCGGCAAATTCATTAGTCAACAGAGCCAAATATCAACAGTACAACGATTGAAATTTCTTTTGAGAGCCAAATTTTTTAAACTTAAACTATATAGGTAGGTACATTGTTATTAACTTAATTAGGGTACTCCTAAGGCTTAGGAAGAGCCACAAGGGGCCAAAGAGCCGCAGTTTGCCGACCACGGGCCTAGGATAACAGAAGAATTAGGTAGAGGTATGAGCCCAGGCTGGGCTGCTTTGGCTCACTAAGAAGTGAGAGGAAAGGGGGCCTTTGGGGACAGGTTCAGGGAGTTTGCCTGGGATGAACTGCCTATTGCTGTCCTGGTTGTAAGCCTCATGGGGTCCCTTAGAATTTAGGAGATGCATGTCTTTGGGAAAGGGGGAAGGTCACCCTGGGGATGAGGGTCCATCCTACAGTTTTCAGGAAGGAGAGCATACCCTGGAACCTGTATTTTAAGGGGTTTCAAAGGCTAGGCATTTAGGGTAGGTTTTAGGGGAGCATGACTTATTTTTTTTGCCATTCCTTTTGCTTTAGTAACATTGCTCTATAGTTTATTTCCTACCCCTGATCATTCTTGCTTGCGTGTCTAGTTCTTATTTATCTTCTTGTTCTCTTAATGTGGTTATTACTCAACTCTATGCTGCTTTCCTAACAATGCCACTCTTTGGAAAGTTAGAAAATAAAAAGACAAATACCACCACCACAGCACATAAGGTTTTTATGTGTTCTACTAACCAATTTGTGCAGAATGCCCTCTTCTGGCCATATTCTTTGACCTGACTGCTTCCTTTATACGATCTACTTCTTGCTGATAACGTTTGCGATCACGAGATGCATTTTCTTTGGCTTCTTTCAGTGCTGACTCCAGAGCTTTCACTCTCTCAGCTGTGGCTCTCAGTCGCTTTTCCAACTTAGGAAGTTCACAGCGAAGATCTGCATTATCACGTACCAACTAAAGGTACATAAATAAGATTAGGATTCTAGCTATAAGAAGATTAAGAAAATATGCAGTTCAGGAGAACCAAGATGGCGGTATAGGTAAATGCCAGTATTTGCCACCTCCCACAACCACATCAAAATTATAACTAAAATACAGAACCATCATTCAGAACCGCCTGATAGCTGGCTGAATGGAAGTCCTACAACTAGAGAAGTAAAGAAGAAAGCATGTTGAGACTGCTCGAGGGGCAGAGGCTAAGAACGGGTTGGTCCGACACCCATGTGTGCCGTTTTTTGTTGGGTTTTTTTTTTTTAACCCAAGGGGATATTGTCCCTGCGGGACCACCATGAGGAGCAATGGGTCCCAGCCCCACACCAGACCCCAGTCCAAGGTCCCAGAGTTGGGAAAATTAGTCCCCATAACTTCAGTTTGTAAAAACCACCAGGATTGTGGCTGAGGGACATGCAGACTGCCGGAGACCCATGTATCCCTCTTAAAGGGCCCAAGAGGAACATACTTGGACTTGCTTCCTCTGAGCTATAGTGCCAGAGGGCGTTGGGGGACCTAGACAAATATGGGGTTGACCTGGATTGTCTGGCATTGGGACAGGAACTTGGGGCCAGCTTTCTACCAGACAGAAGTGCTCATAGGGGTTACTGTTCCTATGCTGAAACTTACCCTGTCCCAGGGCTGACTGGCAAACCATATCTGAGTCCCCAACAACTTAGAGCACACTATTTGCTCCACCCTATGATTCTGAGACCCCACCCCATCCAATTTGCAGCCCACCCAAGCTGTTTGCAGCAGCTTTTCAATATGAATGGCCTGTCCTGGCTCAGGCTTCAGACTTTGCTAAAATCTCTCAAACAAGCTGCAGCTGGTGTCAGCGTGCCCCAAACTTATCAATAAAAAGCCCAAGACCTGGCACCAGCACCAGTCTGCCTTGCTTCACAGCTGGGCCTCACCTGGGCACTTCCAAGCCCAATACAAATAGCAGTCATCTGCAGATCTCTCTGTAGTTTCTGCCAGGTGGCACTGGGCAGTGGGTGACTTTGCATCTCCCAGGAGGCCCGAGAGCCAGTGCACCCAGTGGACAGCTTCAGACCATACTCTACACATCCATAAGTGACACACTCAAGGGGCAGACTCAGTGAGCACCATAGCCCTACTGAAGCAAGTCCTGCTCCATACGGGTGTTTCCTGCACAGCAGCTCTTTCACTATAGTTGTTGCTGGTCCTCACAGCCAATTGGTCTGGAGGTCAATTCCTCCCAGTGATACCAACAGTACTCAACTACAAGACTGAGCACACAGTCCACACAGGAGTGCTCCTAGAGGGACCAGCTGGGCACTATGGGACACTTACTACACAAGGCCACTCTACTAACTCCAGGAGACATGACATAGCTGCTCTACCCAATATATAGAAACAAATACAGGGAAGTAGCCAAAATGAGGAGACAAAGAATCATGTCACAAATGAAAGAAATGGAAGAAAGCAAACTACTGGACACAAAGTTCAAAATCACGGTTATAAAATTACTCAAGGATCTTCATGAGACCTTCCAGGGACTTAGTAAGACTTTCAAGGATATTAGTGAGAATGCCAAAAACATGGAAAAGGACCAGTCAGAAATTAAGCATACACTGACTGAAATAAAGAATAATTTGAGGGATTCAACAGTAGAGCAGAGGATTCCAAGAATCAAATTTATGTTTTAGAATATGAGGAAGCAAAAAACACCTAATCAGAAGAGAAAAAAGAAAAAATCCAAAAAATATGAAGATAGTGTAAGGGGCCTCTGGGACAACTTCAAGCATATCAAATTATGGGGTGCCACAAGGAGAAGAGAGAGATCAAGATAATGAGAACCTATTTGAAGAAATAATGACAGAAAACTGTCCTACCTGGTGAAAGAAATAGACTTATAAGTCCAGGAAGCAAAGAGAGTCCCAAACAAGGGGAACCCAAAGAGGACCACCCAAGACACATCACAATTAAAATGCCAAGGGCAAAAGACAAAGAGAGAATCTTAAAAGAAGCAAGAGAAAAGCAGCTAGTTACCTATATAGGACTGTCAGCTGATTTCTCTACAGAAACTCTGCAGGCTAGGAGTGGCAAGAAATATTCAAAGTGATGAAAAGTAAGGACCTACAACCAAGATTACTCTACCCAGCAAAGCTATCATTTAGAACTGAAAGAGCTTCACTAACAAGAAAAAGCTAAAGGAGTTTATCACCACCAAACCAGTATTATATGAAATGTTGAAGGGTATTCTTTAAAAAGAAGAAAAAGAAAAAGATAAAAAATATGAACAATAAAATGGCAATAAATACATACCTATCAACAATTGAATCTAAAAATGAAAATAAATGAGTAAGAAACCTAATGAACAGCATAAACTGGTGAATAAAATAGAATCAGAGGCATAGAAATGAAACAGACTGATGATTCTCAGAGGGAAAGGGGTGAGGGGGCAGGAAGAGATTAAACAAAAATCTCATATGCATATATGCATTACCTTTGGACATAGACAATAGGATGGCGAAGACCTGGGGTTGGGTGGGAATCAGGTGGAGAAGGGCAATGGGGGGAAAAAGAGGGCCATCTGTAATACTTCTCAAAAATAAGGATTAAAAAAGAAGAAAATATGCTGTTCATAATTTCTCTTTAGAAAAGAGAAATTTTTTTAGAAATTTAATTTTAAGGTTTTCCAATTAGCTTAGCAACAAGCAAGAAATTCATATATTTATATCGTACACATATATTTCTCACAAAGATTTAATTTCACTTAAATTAGGGTGTGAGTGGATCGTTATTTCCTCCTAGGCAATAACAATAAGTTAGAACATAGTGTTAGGTTTCTTTAGTAAGATACTCATCTGGTGGAAATGAATATAATTTTAGACCCACAAATACACACAACTTTAGCAAGCCCTTAATTAATATTTTTGAAAGCAAAAAAGGCTAAAATTTCTTTAACCTTACTCTAGTGCAAACATCTAGTGTAAACATCAAGTTTACAACAGCAAAGATATACAATTCAGTGTGCTAAGAAATAATTTAAGTAAATAAAGCATGTATCAAACTATAATTAAAAATAAGAAATAGTAAGCAGAACTTTTGAAAAAGTATGAACTGGCCTGGCCGGCGTGGCTCAATGGTTGAGCATCGACCTGTGAACCAGGAGATAACAGTTCAATTCCCGGTCAGAGCACATGTCAGGGGTGCGGGCTTGATCTCCGTGTGGGGGATGCAGGAGGCAGACAATCAATGATTCCCTGTCATCATTGATGTTTCTCTCTCTCTCCCCCTCTCCCTTCCTCTTTGAAATCAATAAAAATATGTTAAAAAAAAAAAATAGAACTGCCTCATGAACCTGGGGCATTAAATGTAAAAGAACCAAAAAAATTTGTATTTCAGCTGCAAAGACTTATCTACCAGAAGTATTTTAATTACCTTGAATAAATTAAGAAAACTAACAGATTTGAAATCCCAAAAAGGTTTTCAATGGATTTTTGATAGAGGGCTGTTAAAAATATTAACTTCCCTATAAATTGTTAGCAATAATGGAATGGTTCCGAGTATGAACAATGAAAAAATTGCCACTTCTCAATTCTTGCAACTATCACAAAATATATATATTTTTTACCTGTTTATGGACTTTAGTGAGTTGTTCAAGATTATTTTCAAGAAAAGAGATTTTTTGCTTCTGAGCAGCACTGCCTCCAGTGTCATCAGAATCGATCTCTGCACTCTTAAGAAAAGAAGGTTGATTAATAATGAACGAATTTTTAAAAAACCTCATCTTAACTAAACAAAAATTGTTATAACAACATAAAACATTTTGCTTATGCATGCAAAGAATTACACACTACAGACACCATTTATTCAAATGCCCACACCTCAGTATAGTTTTGTTACCTTTTTAACTCTGGTGGCTAGATCCTGAACAAAGAGCTTCCGCAGGTTGTGTAAAGTCTGAAGTTCTTTTGCCTTGAATTAAGAACAGCAGTATTTTTGGAGTTCAGACTTCAAATTTAATATAACCAAGGGGGAAAAAACCCATTAAACATTCCCCAATCCTATTTATTTTCAAGTTTTTCTTACCACTGTCTCTTCCAAACCCTTCAAGTCTTGTCTTGCTTGTTCTCGTCTATCTTGCATAATCCTAGACAGAGGAAGAATATACATATATTTTCACCTTTGAGTCCATAAAATTCTAGTTTTATTTAGCACAAGAACTGATGCAAATATTTATCTGAAAGAAATTCTTAAATTCAAATAAATGAAAGACACTCATTTTTAAAAGTTTACTCATGTTGTGTCTTTCAAAGAAATTTTTATAATGCTTTATAAATCCTTCTAAATCCATTATTAGAAGAAAATTCTCCTATATAGCAATGGAAGAGATAAAATAAAATGTAGCAGAATCCAAAGAATAAGGAGTGGCTCTTTTTATATTTTAGAATATGTCACATATAGCATACTGCTTTTATTCAAGATAATTCTGATTTAATTGGTAATTACGGAGATTATAAATTACTATAACCCTAGCTTAGTTGGTGAGAGCTCATCCCAATAAGTCAAGGTTGTGGGTTTGGTCCCTGGTGAGGGCACATACACAAGAATGAATGAATGCATAAATAAGTGGAACAGCAAATCGATGTTTTTCTCGAATATCAATAAGTTTTAAAAAAAATTTAAAATAAATTATTGATATTAAAATATTCTACATATTTTATTTAAAATTATTCTCAATAAATTATGGCTAAGTTTCAGCAGAATATTTATAAAATCAACTCTGAGATGGTATTGATGGTGTTACCTTGTTACCTTTCTAAAAATAGTAATTCATTTATAAGTTATCTCTCAAAAATTCAAGGAATGTGAAAAATTATAATCCTGAGTTTTCTATCTGCTCAGATTGTAGAAAGCTGAGCACTGACTAAATATACTCTTAGTAAATTAGAAAAAGTAATTAGTAAAAAACCTCTGTTCAAGAGGCAAGGCTAAAATAATAATGTCCTTTTATACAAGATCAGTTCTGACAAAAATTCAGTTTTTATGATAGATCTTGAAGTAAAATGGCGGCACAGAAACAGTAAGCAGGTTGATAAATAGGAATCATAAATCTTGATCATCACTGAAATACAAGACCTTGCTTTTACTTAAGTATAAGGATACACTGCAAGTTTTTAGGTATACATTAAACCAATGAAGAAAAACACAAAATGAAAAAATGTACCCACTGAATATATCTGATAGTAATACCAACAGTCCCTTAGTTTTAAATTTAAAACTTGAATTAAAACATTAACTCACGTAAGTTCATGTAGTTTTCTGCTCTTTTCCTGATCTGTAGCTTTCAACTTCTCATGTTCTACTCTCAGGCGTTCCTGTTCTAACATCATTTTCTGGTTTTGGCTGACAAAAGGAAAAGAAAACCCCTACAACATCAATCAACAACCACCATTTTCTGAATGTTGTCATTAAGACTTTCAAACTCTTAAATTCTATAATCTCACTAGTCAAACAACCAAAGCCTCCTGTGGTCCCCCCCCTCACTTCCCCGTAGGTGGAGTTAAGAGGACCTGGCTACATTCAGCAATACTACTGTTTTTCATATTTTGGTTTAAAACCATGATTTTAGCCGTCTATATCTTTCATTTCCCCAAATCCTTGTCCCTAAATCCATTAAGTATCAACAGTAAGATACACGTCCCAAACTTTGTCTTCATTTTTTCTTATGCTCCTTTGGTTCCTCCTACTCAAATCATGATATAAGTACAAACCTCCAATTTCCATAAATTCTATATTATATGCATATGGCTACAAAAGTGGGAAAAATGTCTTTTTGATAAATGAAGAAGACAACTTCTACTTTTTAAAAAATTTAAAGCCCACAATTTCCAATATAGTTTTTTCAGTTAAGAATATCTTTTAAAAGGAATGAAATGATTTGAAAAAGACTGTGGTTTCTATTTGCAATAACGGTTAAAGTTTTGTGTGTTTTTTTTCTTTTTACTGAATAGTTACATCAAAAGACCCCAAAAATATTTTTCCCAGGAACTTAGAAGTTAGAAATGAACAAATTTATTTTCAAGTCAAATATTACAATTTCAATGAAAAATGCAGGTATCTAATAGAACATATTATCTACCAGTAACCAATTATTTCCTTTTACCTAAATAGTCAATCTTTCTGAGTTAGTTTTTAATATTTAGAGGAAAGAAAAATATACTTACTCTTGAAGGTCAGTAATAAGTTTTTCTTTTGCCTCAACTTCATCTCTCAAGCTACTAATTTGTTTCTGATGAGTTTCTCTGTGGCTTTGGATCTGCTGTTCAACAGCTTGCTAAAATTATTGCGGGGGAAAGGATATTAAATCAGACTAATGAAAATAAATAATGATGAATTAAAGCCATTAGAATCCAATTACATTACACTTGCCTTAACTTCATTTGCAGTCTGAACCTTATTTAAGTGCTCTTTTTCCATTTCATGCATTTTCTCTGTTTGGACAGGGAGAGAAAACAAGAGAGGAAATAAGCCTTAAAGTTCTTCATATAAACCAAGGAGAAAATGGCTTTTATGAGGGACATGTTCCTTAGCAGTTCTTGACTTTAACCTATCCAAATGCCACACAGTAAATCTTGCTAAGCTCAGCAACATATTGACTTAGATCCTTTGTGTTGATTGATACTATGGTTACCTTTATTTTCTTTACCTAATCCCAGAAGAAATGGGTTAAGGCACGGTAGGGAAATGAGACAGCTTTGTAAGTTCCTATGTTAAGATATGTGTGTGTGTATAAACTTCATATGTATGTGTGACCTCGTAACTTCGTGGAAAATTCCCAGATTGGCTACTTCATATTCAAACACAACTTCAAAAATGTTTCAAAGCCATATTAAAACACATTATTTGTTCTCTATTTCAAGTTATCCAGATTCCTACTATTCATTATCAGTGCAAATATAAATTTACAATTATACTAAAGGATAAATTAATATATATATAACTCAAATAATTAGAAGTTAATACCTTGTGCTCGAAGCTGGACTAGTTCTTCACTGAGGGAATCAACAGATTCCTCCAGCAGTCTTTTCTTTTGTTCCACATTTTGAAGGTATTCAGTCAATGATTTAATTTTGGCTTCATGCTTTTGGGAAAAATGTAATGATATGAAGTGGGAAAATTCTCATGTACGCTTTTTATTGTTAAGAATATTTTAAAATAAGCAAGTTTTATCGATGTATTAATATATAATACACTCAAAGACACAAACCTGAAATGTTCAGGGCACAATTTTACAATGAAAAAGAATTTAATCAATAAAATGGTCATCTGTATAGCTTAAAACACTTGTAAGCAAAGGCACTAAAGGCTGAAAAAAAGAGATATTGTTTTCTCCATATGGTATTACCTTCTTCCCTCCATATACAATTCCTATTCTTGGTGACTGGCCTCATTCAATAAACTGGAAAAGCCAGAAAATTGGCCCTGCAGTTTTGTCTACCCCAGAATTCCTCTAGATTCTTCAACAGTCACATCTTTCTAGTAAATCTATATACTTAACATATACATGTTAGCAAATACAACCCAGTCAAATCATTCATGTTATTATTAATGCAGCTAGACTAGGAAAAACTGATAAAATTAACCTATTTTGTTACTCAAAATAACCTATGGAAGTTTGTTTTTCTTAAAATTTTTACAGTAAATAAAACTTATATGTGGCTACTAAAAATAGAAACTTTTTTTGTTAATACATACTTGAGAGATACGAAGCTGGCATGCTGCTAACTCCTTTTCATTTTCTTCCATTTTTTGGTTACTCTCAGTTTGTGTGCTTTCTAACTGTTTGCAACGTTTTACCATTGTTTTTACTTCTGACTTCATTTTGCTAATGTAGAGCCTTGCAACGGTGAACTCTTCATCTATCATGCCAGTTCCCTCAGGCTGCTATGAGAAAACAGTGAAGTAAAAAAAATAAATAAATAAAGGAAAAATATCCAGTGCGATTACCAAATTAGGCTCTAAAACTTAGAACAAAATTAACTATATTTTAATATTACTCAATATTCATAGGAAGTCTGGAGTTTTTCTTTTATGAAATATATTTGTTTTTAAAAAGGGCAAATAAAATAGAGCTTAATTTTTGCCTTCCTTCTTTCCTTTCTAAACTTAATGCTAATATATGTCTACATGGAAAAAAGAAACACACACCTAACAAACATACCAAAAAAACCCTGATCAATTCTACCTCTTTCAATATTTGAATTTCCTCTTCCAGGCTCTTTTCAGTAAATTTATTGTTAATCACATGTAACTCCCAGTTTAAAACTTAATAGATAAGAATGTTTAGGTGGCATAGAAATGATGACTTTGAAGTTCACCAAAGAGGAACTGTGGTCACTGTACATTCTATACTTTCATTATAAAATTCCAGTATAATACTTAGTGTCAAAATTAAGTGGAGCTTGAGAAGGAACAAATAAAACTGTGTTTGTTCACAGATGACATAATTATTAAAGAAACTCCAGGCACTAATAAGCCATTATGGTAACATCGCAGGATATAAGGTTAACATACAAAAGTCAATCACTTTCCTTTCCTTCCCTTTCCTTTCTAACAGCAACAAACAACAAAAATTTGAAATGAAAAACACAGTGTCATTTACATTAGTGCCAAAAAGAAAAAAACACTTAGGTATAAATGTAATATAATATATGTAAGATCTCTATGAGGAAATTATAAAACACTGATGAAAGAAATCAAAGAACTAAATAGATGGAGATATTCCACATTCATGGATAGGAAGACAATACTGGTAAAATATCAGTTCTTCCCAAGTTGATCTGTGTATTTAATATAATCTCAATCAAAATCCAGCAAGTTATTTTGTGGATATCAACAAATAGATTCTAAAGTTTACATGGAAAGGCAAAGACTCTAAACAGCCAACAATATATTAAAGAAGAGCAATGTTGGAAGACTAATGCTACCCAACAACAAGAATTACCATAAAGCTACAGTAATCAAAATGATGTGATATTGGCAAAAGAATAAATAAATAGATCTCTGGAACAGAATATAGCCCAGGAATAGATGCACGCAAAGACAGTCAGTTGATCTCTGACAAAGGGGCAAAGGCAATTCAATGGAGAAAGAATAGTCTTTGCAATAAATTTGCTGGAGCAAGTGGTCATCCCCATGTAAAACAATGAGTTCTGACAGACATACCTTTCAGGAAATTTAACTCCAAATAGATCATAGACATAAATGTAAATGCAAAACTAAAAAAAACTTCTAGAAGGTAACACAGGAGAAAATCTAGATGACCTTGAATTTGGAGATGAGTTTTCAGAAACATCAGAAACATAACCCATGAAAGAAAAAATTGGTATGTTGTACTTTGTTAAAATTTCTGCTTTGTAAAAGATACTGTTATGAGAAGAATAAAAAGATAAGCCACAGACTGGTAGAAATATATGCAATTCAAATGCAAATTAAAGCAACAATGAGATACCACTAGACATCTATCAGAATGGCTCAAAACCAAAAAGTAATGACATCAAATACTGGTGAAGATGTGAAGTAACAGGAACTCTTACTCATTGCTGATGGGAATGCAAACTGTTATGGTCACTTTGGGAGTTTCTTACACAGCTAACATAGTCTTACCATACAACCTAACAATCATACTCCTAGGTATTTTTATCCAATTGAATTGAAAACTTATGTTCATAGACAAAGTTGTACATGAATGTTTACAGCAGTTTTATTTATAACTGTCAAAAACTGAAAGTAACCGAGATGTTCCTCAATAGGTGAATGGTTCAACAAACTGGTATATCCATATCATAGGCTATTTATTATTCAGTGATAAAAATAAGCTACCAAGCCACAAAAAGATATGGAAGAACCCTTAAATGAACACTAAGTGAAAAAAGCCAGTTTTTAAAAAGGCTACATACTATATGCTTCCAACTATATGAAATTTTGGAAAAGGCAAAACTATTGAGAATTTTTTTAGATCAGTGGTTATTAGGAGTTCAGGGGAGGGGTATGAATAGAAAAAGCAAAGGAGATGATAGGTGATGTTAAGAGGTAAAACTATGCTATGATACTGTAATGGTGAATCTATATTATGCATTTGTCAAAATCCTTAGAACTGTACCACAAAGAGTGAACCATAATGTAAAAATCACAGAACAAGTGGAGCTCAGCAGGGTTTAATTGATGATGTTAACAGGAAAAGAATTACGTGCAAATGACAAAAATACTGAGGATCCATAGATTTCTTTTTAAAGAACCTATCTGCAAGGATGACCTGCTTTCAAATGCTGTAATAGTGGGGGGGAAAGGAGTCTAGGAGTCAGGAAACCTGTATTCTATCACTTTGTGCGACTCTTTATTTTCTGTCTTTACCACTTTTATTTTCTGTCTTTACCACTTTTATTTTCTGTCTTTACCACTCTTTAATATCTGTCTTTACCACTTTTTCACTTAAATTACGATTATTTTAACATGAAACAAAAAGATTTTTCTAAAAAGAAGTTGAAAATCTACAAAGCAAATTTTGAACAACAGCTTTCTAGTGTTCAATGATATAAAATAAATCTACTTTTCCAACCCCAAAGATTCCCACATAGCTCCAACATCTCCCATTACTTTACCATGAAAAGGATAGGACAGAATATTCAGACTACTGATGAAGAGATCAAATGAAGTCACCAGTATTTAACAATAACACTTTTTCTTTTTTTCAGTGAGGTTGAGCTGACATTAAAAAATGACATATGAGGAGAGAGGTTGAAAGAATCTTTGCCTCCATCAATAGACAGCAGCTCTGAATAACAACCAATAGAAGGAATGTAAGCTCCATACTGAAAACCTTTACTTCATTTCCAATTCTTGCTAAATTTGGCCTTTAGTATGCTCTCACTATAAACCCAAGTATAAATTTGTTCTGTTTGTAACTATAAGTAGGCTTTAATGAAAAAGGTGAAGTCCCAACAGATACTTACTGCAACATACAAATATTTCATGCTCTATATGTTTTTGCAGTTAAGAGTCTTAGTTTACCTTTTGGTCTAAGTTTTAAAATCTACCAGGTCACTCACTTTTATTTATTTTTTTTAGTACATGCCTAGTGATAACATACCAATATTATTATCCAAAAATAAATGTAATAGAAAAGAAAAAGGCATAGATAAAATAAGTATGGCCAAAGTTTGACAACCGATAACTCTGAGGTTCACAGTATTTTCCTCAGTTATATGTTTGAAATTTTTCATAATAAAAGTTAAAGAAAAAAATTAATTAGTGGTGCTCATCTTTTCCTTTTTAAATGGTAAAGCAACTACGGGCCAATTCATTTATGAGTTTATTCCCTGAGCTAATCTTCACTATTGTTTCAATTATATACTGTCATGTATTGTAATCTATTAGCATAATTTCTAAGTGCAAAATCTTTATATAGAACATGTAGTTCAAATAAATGCTACTTACTGAATATTCATCTACTTGAATACCCCATCCTTTTTCTTTTTTCTCATCTATTTAAAATGAATACAATACCATCCCTCTACTACACATGACTATTATGAGGATGAGATAATGGGTAAGAAAAGAACTTGGCCCAACCGGGTGTGGCTCAGCAGTTGAGCATCAACCCAGGAACCAAGAGGTCACAGGTTCAATTCCTGGTCAGGGCATACGCCCAGGTTGTGGACTCGATCCCCAGTAGGGGCATGCAAGAGGCATCTGATCAATGATTCTCTCTCATACCTTCCTCTCTGAAATCAATAAAAAAATATATTTTTAGCAAAAGAACTTTGTAAAGAAATAAGAAGTAATAAGAAATAAACAAAAGAATGAGCTGCATCCAGATAATTACACTTACTGTTTGGTTATTATTATTTACCTTTACGTCATTATTTCCTACAGCAATTCCTATTTCTGCAAGGTCTTTTAGTAAAGATGCCATCATCTCAGCTGCTCGTTTTTTCTGGTGGTTAGTCATTTCCTTGAGTTTCTGAAGCTCAGCATCTATACTTGCTAAAGTTGCCTAGTAGATAGGCAAAAATAAAAGTTAGATAATCTATTAAATAAAAGATCAATTCAAATATCAACAGGTATTGACACGTCTAACACTCTCAAAAATATTATTTTTTTGCTTTCATTTTCTTGAACTATCTAGTTCTGGAATAGCTCCCAGTTTAAACTTAAGACATATTTTAGACTTCATAAACAATGTAAAGTTGCCATACTGTGCTCCATTAAGAACAGTAGTCTGCATTACTTAACTAGAGATTGAGTAATGTTTTCTGCCTTGAAATGGCCAACTTCCAAATTAATTAGATTCCATTTTCATTTATTGCCATAAGTCTGAGCAAATTAATGTTAGAATGGAACTGACAATTTTCTAGATGGTTGGTATATTTTCTTTGCCTTCTATATACCTACTTACCAAGTCTTAAGAAAGAAAAAACTATATCTTACTGATTTCTGATTCAGTTCATCACTAAGCAATTCATATTCCTTAGTTTTGTCTTCAACTTCCTGAGACTTCTGATCATAATTGACAGCAAGTTCCTCTAAGGCTTGTAAAACTTCCTTTACTTCTTCTTTAGAGGCATCGTTTTCTGCTTGAAGGCGATTCAGTTCAGCTTGCATATTATCTTGATCCCTTCTGGTAGATGCCAGAAGCTACGTGAAAGAGTCAAGTTACCAAAGTACTATATCAGTTATAAAAAAAACACACCTATTTGTTAAGCACAAAGGGGAGGAAATGTGGACGCTATTAAGTGTGGTAACAATATTAATTCATTCAACAGATTTACTGAATGTTACTATGTGTAGGCATGGTGCTAGAGCTAGACACTGTGGAAGAAAATCAAATAAAAACATTGTCATTAAAAACTCTAATAAAATAAAAACTCTGTCATTGAGGAATATAGACGAGAAGATGTACATAATAAATGGATACAAGATGATATGTAGGAGCCATAAAGGAGGGACAGGAGACGACAAACAAAGAGCTTGGTAGTAAATAAAAGGGGTGAGGATATTTATTGTAGGGAAAGCAGAGGGAATGGAGAAGGTGCCAAGGACAGATAGATTTTAGTCAAGTGCAAATTAAAGTACTAGAAAGACACAGGCATTCTAGCCTCATGACTTGTGTGCATAGAAATGAAAGGAATTAATAGATGTTTAGAAAATTTGCTTTAAAATGTAGATTTTGGGGTAGCTTCTGAGCTATGCCTCAGCAAAACTTGGTATTCGCATATAAAATCTGAACTGGAAGAAGCCAAGAGACTAGCAATTAGGAGGACATTGTAATCATCCAGTTAGTCAATGGTTTTTAAGTAGGGGCATATGGAAATGTGTGGGAATTATTAATAACTAGAGGCCCAGTGCACGAAATTCGTGCACGGGTAGGGTCCCTAGGCCTGGCCGGCAATCAGGGCCAATTGGGGCCTTCTGGCTGCCAGCCAGGGTCTCCCTTCCCCAGCTGCCGGCCAGGGCCTTCCTTCGTTCTGTGCCACCCCCTGGTGATCAGCACATGTCATGGCAAGCAACTGGTCTCCAGGTTGAACTCCTGTGGGGACAATTCGCATATTAGGCTTTTATATATATACTAGAGGCCCGGTGCACAAAAATTTGTGCACTCGGGGGGAGGGGGGGTC